AATTTACATGCATAATAAAAAATCTCTAAAATTAAGAATAAAATTTATATGATGAGTAAAATCAAAGTAGATCTATCAAACTATAAGAAAACTTGATAAAGATGACTATCATACAATGAGCCATGCCAGTATGTTATGATACGTAGTGTTAGTACCAATGCAAGTTCTATCAGTATAACTTCAATTCTATCTAGCAATCCATTCAATGCATTATCATTTAAATATAGTCATAAGTATAATTATGAAGAGCAAGACATGTCATGAATCATTAATATAGTATTTTCATCATTCCATCTATTTGTTATCATATCTACTCATCTGTCAATCTTATCTTATCTTCTCTTTTATTGATTTCTATTAATCATTTATTTTCATAGGTGGTTGCTAATAGTCATTTAAGAGTTGTCATCCTCTACATTTTAAAATAATTTGGTCAATCATTTACATGTTATAACTAGGATTACATCACCAAATTTTTATTTTAAGGAAAGCTTGTTGTCCCACCCTCTTGCATAGGGTATTATATTTAAAGTGCCAACATGTATTAATTATAGTGTTAACAACTAGTCTTTCTTTCTTACATGCAAATGCTATATTTTTTATGTAATATAAGTGAATATCATTTATGAAATGAGGTAATTCATAAAAATATAAGAAAATTTACAAAAGTTGTCTTCTATGCACATTTACTTCAAAAAATTATAGTTTCTAATTTACTTAGTCAAATTCATTAATATTATAGTCAAAATACTTAAAAGGGTCATATCTATCATATACAAAAAAAATTACACATTAGAGTTTGCTAAAAATCAAGATATCGATCGCAACTTTATAAATTTTGATGAAGTTAAAATTCATAAAACATAAAATAATTAAAATAATTAAAATTAAAAATAGGGTAATATTTTTCTACCTTGAGACTAGCAAAATTTTCAATTGGATTGATAAACGCCTCTAAGACCTCCAAACCATAACTTCTCTCTTCTCTCTCCTCTCTTTTTCTTCTATTTTTTATTTTTGCTATCTGGCTTCGTAAAATTGACTGAGAAAAATGAGAATGAAATGGAATATAAAGTTCTGTTAAGATTTTTTAAGTTGATAACGATATTTTGTAATAAAATAATGTAAAAATGTAAAGATAATTATGCAATTTGTTAAATTTTAAGGATAAAATTCATATAAATCATTTTATATCATCAAATTTGGAGCTCTAAAAATTATATAAAAATATCAATAAAATAACCAATATATCCTAAAAAGCTTTGGTGAAATCAATTTGAAAAATGGACATATGATGGTCTAAAAAAACTCATTTATACTCATTTATACCAATTTTTTACACTACCCCTAAAATTAGGACAATCATTCATATAATTAATGCACAATAATATCTATAGTATGGCAAAGACAGTTTACAAATTAAACTTATAATGAATCCTAAAACATTATGTTAAAATATGGGTTATTATAGATTTAGAGTTTACTATAATTATAATTTTATGTTCTTTTAAGATAAGTTAGTAGGACGTCTCAAGCTTTCTTAAGGGAGGTCAAGAGAGTTGAGAGAAAACTTTTAGAAAGACTTATTTTGTTAGGTGAGAGAGATAGAAGTGATTTTAAGGGATCTCTTGAAATGGCATTCAAGAGATCTGAAGAGTCTTGAGAGAAGAATCGTGTGCTAGCTGGGAGGTTAGTGGTGAAGCTTCTCGAGAGGGTGAAGTGGTGTACACGGGTTTTCGTCGATCCCTGTGAAGGAGAAAGAGTAGTTACTGGAATACCCAGATCGAGAGAGGATTCCCGGGAGTGGACATAGATCAAGTTAAAACCACTATAAAATTTTGGCTTGTGCTCTTTTTCTTTTTCATTTACTCCCTGCATTTTTAGTTTGTTTAGTTGATTTGCTATGGTTATCTGTGGTTTTGCTTATTAAAAATTTTTTTATTGTCATAAATTAATCTTTAAGTTTTTTACTACTCTCATATTGTTTTGAAACAAAACTTTCAAATTAATATTTAGAGTTTATTAAATAGTTTATTTTCGCTGCAATTTATCTTTTGCTATTTAAAAAAAAAAAGTAAGCCAATTGACCCCTCTCTTGGTTGTGCCTAATCACGTACATGTTGGTTACTTAAAATTTACCACAATATTTAATACGTGAAAGAGAAAACATATTAACTTAATGTCACATAATGTGAATAGAAAAATATGCTTTAAGTAAACTAAAATGTTAACTCAATATGTCATCTTCCATGCCTATCAAAAATAGTGTCTTTTGATAATATAGGTGTTGATGCGGATATATATTGCATATACATAAATTGGTGATACTATAAACATATATGATGTAGGTGATTGTGACTCAATGGATACTTCAAAATTTAATCATTCATTGGACTTGTCAATTTCAATTAATGATCAACATAAAGAAGCAAATTGCTAAGGTCTTTTTGATCTTCATGTATCATAGGGCTAGAAGCAACAATTCAATGTTTAAAGAACACTTATAACTCTCAAACCACAAGTTTGATGCCTACAAACACCTTAAATTTATTGGCTGGTGGTGTCATAAGCAAGTTATCACTTATGTGAGAAAGGATACTCAGAAAAATCCTTTCAAAAGCTATAATCTCACCTAGTTATACTATATAAAATAAATCTAGGGATGATTGTTAAATTTTAGCTTTGCAGTGATGGTCATTTCAAATATAACTTTGGATGTTTGTGTTAAATGATTCAAAAGTGCATGTTGCCAAATGTAAGCTATGGATGGAGCATTCTTAAACACATTGTTGAGGAACTTTACTTGAGATAGAGGCACAACATGCGAATAAAAAGGATTTATCATGCGCATTTGAAATTGTTGACTTCGAAAATAATAATTCATGGATGTATTTAATGCTTAGGCAGAAGGAGTTAATGGACACAATGGAAAACTTAGTTTTTATCTATGATGGACAAAATAATGCTGCTAATGCTTTATCAATTATTTTTTCAAAGGCACACCATGAGGCTTGCACTATTTATATGACAATACATATTATGATGAAGTTTAATCTTGAGAATGAAACTGACTTTGAGCAACATGCATGTACTTTCTTCCCTATAAGTCGATATAGATTGATGACAATCACTGTTTTTGATAGCTTCAATATTATCAATAAGAGTGCATGCTCCTATCAAGCGATTACAATGTTAGAAGTTATAAGACGTACAATACGAAAATGATTCTTAGAAAGAAGCAACATTAAACATTATAGTGAACATAAAAACAATTTAGCGAATAAGTATTGAGGAAACTTCTGAAGAAGGCTTAAAACATGATCATCTGCACCATGAGTTAATTTGAACTATATGCTTTTGTTCGAGGCCATAACAGTGGTGCTAATGTGCAAGAGGGTATATGCAAATGTAGAAATTTGATATTATGGGACTTATGTGTGAACATACATTGGTTGTAGCTCGAGATTGAGGTGCCAACTATTATACCTTATATTTAAAATTTCATTCATAGAAAGCATGCCTACATGCATAAGCTTAAAATATATATCTAGTTGAAAAAGAAGGCACCTATGAGGTTCAAAATAACATAAAAATATATGTTTATTACTCATATCAGAGAAGTCTATGTAAGAAAAATAGAAGGCCTTTAAAGCGGGAGAGTAATATGGTTCAATGTAGTTTTAGTCGATGTAGGGTTAAATGTTAGAATCTAATTACTTGTAAGGCCAATCTCCCACGACCTTCACAACTATTTCATTGCATGAATAAAATATAATTCTTAAATAACAGTCACTATATTATTATACAATAATGCATTGATTACTAATTCATGTTACAAACATTAATAGTTGAATTTGTTCTGTTATGTCTACTATGACCATTCTTGAATTTGCCATGTTATGTAGAACATTGAACAAACCTTATGCTGATGCAATATTCTAGCATTTCATAAATTTTTCTAATAATATCTTTTTAGAACTATGTTCAAACCTTGATTGCATAATAACAATTAATGGTTAATTATAGTCCAAAGAATTTTTGATCATTAATCAAACTTTTTTTCAAATAGATTCTCAATCTTCATTTGGAGCTTTTATTACGTCCGGTGTAAGGACGTAGAGGAACGTCCGGTTGGAGGTAAAATCCCGTTAAAAAACTCGGTATTTGCTTGGTATAACTAGGTATTATTTGATATTAACGAGGAATACCGCTCTTTGAAGACCAATACTGAGTAATACCGAGCTGCACAGAGAAATACCGAGTTGTACCGAGTTTTTCTAGGAAAAACTCGGTACAACTTTTGTATAACTCGATATTTTTCGGTTTAGCTCGGTATAACTCGGTATTGGGTCTTCAAATGATGGTATTCCTCGTTATTGTTTGGTATTGCTCGGGAATTGCTCGGTACAACTCGTTTTTTGGCGGGATTTGGCCTTCAACCGGACGTTCCTCTGCGTCCGGTCGGAGGACGTAATAATTGTTCCTTCATTTGGGATAACTTTTTACTGTTTTCTTAGAAAAAAAATTTCTAATTCAAAAAATTTTCATACTAAAAAGTTATTTTTAAAAACAATATGAACGTAGTCTCAAACAAAGTCTTACACCTCGTTTGAGACGGGTTTCTTGTTGCTTCTTAAAATAATTTTCTAGTTAAAAAATTTTAATTTTTATACTTAAAAACTACTTTAAGAAGTAATAAAAAAGCCGGCCCAAACACATTCTTAGGCTTCGTTTGGGACGACGTTCTTACTGCTTCTTAAAGCAGCTTTATAGTTCAAACATTTTAATTTTTATACTAAAAAATTGATTTAAGAAGCAGTAAGAAAGCCATTCCAAACGAAGCCTTTGTCTAATATTATTCAAATCAAATTTGGTCACAGTAAACTTAAAAAAGTAGAACGAAGATATTTTAATCCAAATAAAACTTTGAAAGTATATTTTTCGCATAAAAGGATTAACTTTTTTTATTTATTTCGATCATTAGGGGAAAATTTCACAGGTCAGATTTCTTTAACAATTGAGCATTAACTACAGAGGTTTTAAGCTCGAAATCCCGGCGAATTCGTCTGACTGCTAAACCAGCAAATTTCTTAAACCCTAATCCTCACCACCCGCTACGTTTTAAGACCATTTTCCATTCTCAGACTCAGTGATCCATGGCTCTAGCTCGGTTGCAGGGAATTCATCGCGTCAATCGAGCTTTCCATTCTGTTTCGGTTTCTCCATTGTACTCCCTTATATCATAAGCTGTTTGCATTTTTTCAATAAGTGAGAGCAATATATATGCAAATTCCCCTTTATTGATTACGCCCTCTAATTTATCTTTCTCCAGCTATGGAAGTTATTGGGGCCGTCTTAATGCGACAAGTGAAGGTATTTTCCAGTACGATTGAATGTATTTTCATTTCTATGTATTGCAAGGATTTCTTACTTTTACCTAGTTTTTTTTTTCAGGAATCACTCGCTCAACTAATATAGCTTGCTTTTACTCAGTTGATAACATGCTTGGTCAAAATGTGAGTGTTTTAGCGTGTTTAGATTGCAAGGGCATACTTTCAATGACTCTTTTCGAGCAGTTTTATGATTGAAAGTAGCAACATCATTTATCATATACTCGGTTTTATCGATTTCTACTAGGGCTCTGAATTCACAATCCAATTAGGTGGAACGAGGTGGATGTCAATGATGAAGGTTCCCCGTGGAGCACAACAGGTTAGCACATATTCCCATTTGAGGATTCTTCATTTCTGAGGGTTGTTTTTCTTTATGAAGAAAATAGAAACTTAGGTTCTGTTAGTTAATTTTTCATTAAAATGCACTGTTATATAGATTGCAATGTTGTTTGAATGTTTTTAATTTATTGAATTTTAGTTATTGTACTTGATAAGGAAGTATCGCCAGTATTGAGAATAATGCACTTGAATCTATCGCAGAGGAGAAAGAGGAATACATCACATAAATCAGCACAAATGTTGGTTATGTGATAATGGCAGGAATAAGTGTATTTTGAGAATATATTTTAATTATTAACATGACCATGTCTAAATTATCACATGGCCTAAATTATTTATAGTAGGAATTTATATTACTTATTATTCTAATATTTTCTCACTATCAAGGATATTCTTCTTTATTATGTATTTTTTATTATTCTTTTCTCTTGATTATATAGATAGGCACATATATGCTTGTACTAGAAAGACAAATGAGTAAATATGTAGTCCTTTCAATTCTCTCCCTTCTAATATAGTCTTAGAGCCATTGCCTAATATCCAACTAATCTTCTCTAAACACCTTCCTTCCTTACACTCCTTAACATTCTGATCTCCATTGGCCAGCTCTCACACTTTCACTTGACTGTGACCCTTTTGACTCTATTGGCTTCTCCTTCCATGAGATTTGATCTTCTTCTTAGACCACTGAGGCATTTGATTACCTTCTTTATTTCTCTTAGATTTGTATACCTCTATTATATACATATGTTCTATCGTGGTGACTTTACCAATGACCAATGCCTTTTCTCCTTACTATGTCTACCTCTTCGTTGATGCTTTCTATATATACCTCTATTATCTACATTTGTTCTCTAGTGGTGACTTCGGTAATGAACAATGCCTTTTCTCCTTACTATGTCTACCTCCTGGTTGATGCTTTCTATCTATAATCTTCATATACGTTCTCTATTGATACCTTTATCAACGTTGTTTATTGATACTTTTATTTAAGAATCTTAGTTATGTGTTCTCTAACACGAATCTCATTATTGACTGTGAGTCCAATTCATGCAATTTTCTTTTTCCTTGATTGGATGTGCTACTCTTGCAACACTTACAATCTCCACGTCTAACATCTTTTGCTGTTTCATCTTTGGTCACAACTATTTTCAAACTCAAGTAGTTATAATTCCATTGCCATCTTGATTTTGTCGAGGAGTGTAATGATATTTAAATTATTTAGAGTAGAAATTTATATTATTTATTATTATAATATTTCCTTATTATTGAGAATATGTTCCTTTATTGTTCCCTTCTCCTGGTTATATATGCTTGGTACAACAATGGAAATTGAGTGAAGATGTATTACTTTTCAATTCTCTCCCTTCTAACAACTAATTTTGTCAGGTAACAGGTATTAGGTTAAATATTGTTCTCTTTTTTAACCATTGGAGTGCTATTTACAATGATCAACGGTGGTTCCAAGTTCCAACACCTTATTAGTTATTTCTTTTGGCCAACAAGGTGATGGTTGGCTAACATCTATATAGCAACTATCTTTGGTTAATTGACATTTGAATATATTTTAGTGAAGTGTAAAAGCGAATATTTGTTATGAAGATAATGTTGTTCATCATATGTCAATGAATCAAATAGCCTTATAATAGAATACAAACTTTATTTTCTACTAGAGATAAGATGAAAGCTATAGTTGGTGAGTAAAACTTCAAGCCTACAACTACAACAACAACAACAACATCAATCGTTTATCCCACTGCGTGGAGTCGTCTACATAAATCTTTTTTCTCCATTGTGTCCTATTAAGAGTCAAATTTTCATTCTCTAATTATCATTTAAATCTACTAAAAAAAAGGTCATTTTTAATATTTTCTAACAAAGTCTTTTTAGGTCTACCTCTACCTTTCTTAAAATAGGCCAAACAAATCTAATACATCTACTCCCCTAATCGGCTCATCAAAATACTGACGTTTTATGTGGCCAAACCATCTAAGGCTAGTCCTCTCTAATCTTATTTTCCATTGGAGCTACTTCAACCTTTTCACATATATATTCATTTATCGTTTTGTCTATAAGAGTGAATCCAGTCATCCACTTGAGCATTTTCATCTCTCCAACACTTAACTTAGTTTTATGCTTCTCTTTTAATAGTCAATATTCTACGCTATAAAGCATTGTAGGTTTCATTACCATCTTATAGAATTTTCCCTTAAGTTTGAGGGGTACTTTCCTATCACACAACAAGCCCGATGCATTCCTCCTCTTCAACCATCAAACTTGAATTTTACTATCTCCTATTTTACCACTACTTTGAACAATAGACCCAAGAGATAAAAAATGTATGCTCTTATTAATGACTTGATTTCCCAAATTCACAATTCCCTCACTAGATCTATTATTACTAAAATTACACTCCATGTATTTAGTTTTATATCTGCTCATACGAAAACTATTAGACTCTAAGGTTGACCTTTATAATTCAAGTTTACCTTCAACTATCTCTCTTGTCTTATCAACAAGATAAATATCATCAACAAAAAGCATACACCAAGGTACATCCTTTTGCAAATGTCTAGTAAGAACGTCCATGACTAAAGCAAAAAGATATGGGCTTAAAGCTAGCATTGATGTAATCTAACTGAATTAGGAAAATACTTGGTCAAAACCACCTTGTTGTTTGATAATAGCTCTTGCATACCTATTCTTAATGACTTGAATATAAGCATTATTAACCCCTTTCTTTTCTAGAACTTTCCAGAGCACTTCTCTTCGAACTTTATCACAAGATTTCTCTTAATCAATAAATATCATCTGTAGATCCTCCTTATTCTCTCTATACTTCTCCATCAAACCTCTTAATAAATATATAGCTTCCATAGTAGACCTGCCCGGCATGAATCCAAATTGATTTTGAGAAACATTAGTATCACATCGTAACCTTACTCCAAAACTCTCCCATAGTTTAAAAGTACGACACATTAATTTAATTCCTCTATAATTCACAAACTTTTATGCATCACCTTTATTCTTAAAAATGAGAATCAACACACTCATTCTCCACCCATTTGACATCATTTTGGTCTTCAAAATAGTATTGAAAAGTTTCGTAAGCTAAGAAATTCCTTCATCTCCTAAGCATTTCCATACCTCAATTGGAATACAACTGAGAAAGACTTTAAACAATTTAGCTCACTGAATCTTTATATTGGAAAATAAGATAAGAGAAAATGCATAAAAAAACTATGACAATATGTTGTAATATCCCCATATTGAAGTATCAATTTGGGATGATCTCCATTCCATTGTAAAAAAGTGACCAGGAGCTAAGACGGTGAAAATTATTATTATTAATTCTTGTTATCTATTTTCTACTCCAGATGAGAAGAAAGTACTAGCTAGTGAGTAAAATATTAAAGCATTACAACTGATAAAAAATATTTTAAACATTTGCCTCAGTGAACGTCCATATAGCAAACACATTACAGGAATTATGTCAGAATATGACTACATGTGATATCTCCTTATGGGTATCTCCAATTTGGGAAACTATTTATCTCATCATAAAAAAGGTGGCATCGTGCGAAAGATAATGGAATTTTTTTTTTCTTTTGATTCTCACGCCATCATTATTCATTGACTGGTATTTAGAGTGGATGAAGTTTTGGCTAAAGGTCATCATTCAACCTAATCCAATTAACTACTGCTAGCATTGCCTGGAATTATTTCCATTGCTAATGTCTAATTAATTTGTTTCATCGAATGAGAATTATATAATAGTTAAAGAGATATAGCTCCGAGGCTAAAAAGATTTATCTTGTATTGGGAGTTATATCCTAAGCATGGTCTTGCAGAATTCACCTGAGTTATATTGTCAATTCATCACATCTTTCAAGTACTGACTTTGACAAAGAAAATAACATTTTTCTTGTTTACTAGGTTGAGAGAGAAAAACTGCACAGTTGTGGCCTTGTCTCCTAGATTTTTTTTATGTATTCAGTCATCATGTTTTGTAAACTCCATCATGATTATTGTGATAATTAGGGAATATTACTTAAAGCTTCAGCTCAAGAGGAACTTCTCACGCTGAGCTAGAATTGGTCTGTAATAGCTAGTTTGTTGCTTGCTTGACTTCCTTTTGGTTAAGCTGAAGATTGACCAACCATTACTTGGCTTGGATTGGAAACCTTTGCCTAGTATTCCCATGAATTTTGACATGGATCAGTTTTTATTTTTGGTGTAATTGATGGTGTTTTTGTCTCTATCTTTAATGTTAAGCGTTGTTTGTTATTTTAGTTTTATGATAGGAATCCGATCTCCACATAGCAAAAAAAAGAAGCACTAACAAAGATTAAATGCAGCAAAATCAGAGAGAAAGAAGAGATTTTGGGCTAATTTTATTGATATTGGCACAACAAACCAAGATACAAGTTAATCTACTATTGGAGAGGTAGATCAACTCTCCACAAGCCCTAGGCGTTGCTATGTAAAAACTCCAAAGAAAATTACCGTAAAATACAAAATCACATAATGAAAATAAAAAATGATCCTTTCTAATTTTTTCTCAAATTTGAATTTAAATTAGTCATCTTTCCCTAAATAAACCTTCCTAATTTTCTCCCAAATCTAGATTCAAATCTACCCTCTTTCCCTAAATAAACCTTTCTAATTCTCTCCCAAATTTGATTTTCTATGATAAGTAATTAAATATAAAATTAATCCTCTTGAGCCCCCCCCCCCTCTCCTTGCCCATTGCCGCCTACACTAGTGGGGCCCACATGAGTCTTCTGCCTGCTAGCTTGATCGGTCCCCCTTGTTAGGGCCGGGTTGATTGGTGTGACCAATTCAGCCAGTCCATCATTTTATTATCAATATTAATTTGATATATTGTAACTTTCTTTTTTCCAACTTTTATATTACCAAAAATTAAAGCTAGGGTTGTGAACACTAACTAATTTTCTCTCCTATGATCTCCTTTTTCCAAGAAAAGACTAAATGTAATAAGATGTACATTGGAAAATCAGTTTTACTTTAATTTCATGTTGCTATCCGGTCAAATGCCATAGGCATTATTTGATCTTTCTTTTCATCAATTTTGTGGTGTATGCACACATTCTATTTCGTTATATGAATTAGTATACTGTAAGTGTTTTTCGTTAAGCTGTTATGCTTTTTCTTTGAAAATTTTTGCTTTATGATTGCTTGCAGACATCACTAAAGGTGACCATGCTTAGTCCCGGTTTTGTTTATGAGCCATATGAACCCCGAAAACCAATTCCTTTCTGGAAAAGGTAAATCCACTAGCTATATCTTAGTTTAGTTTATTTTAAAACTAAAAAATGTCTTCATTTAGTAATGTATTATTGTATTGCTTTTCAAAAAACATCATAATTTTTATTAGAGTGGGAAACGCACATTGAAGACTGATACCCCACGAATCTAAGGATTCATGACATGGAGAATGCACCTGCAGTGCTACTTGTTTCGTTTGATGCATTGAAGTTTTTGATTCATCGAGTATCCAAACAACTATGATTCAAATGTTAATTTGCCTTTTTTGTGCATCCATGTGTATTTAGCAATGACTTTTTATTATTCGACACAATAAAAAGAAAGCCTAAAATTATCTGGCTTTTCATTTATGTGGTTAGATATATTTATTGGCCATATCTTCTACTCTATAAGCATACTCTGGATGCATTTTTTTCTTCCTATATTGTCACTTTGTTATTATTTAAAAATAAAGATGCTTTCCATTCTTTATTAATGCTGACAACAAGGTCATCCTTGAGAAATTAATACATGGTTGCCTTTTGCTTCCTACTGTAAATATGACATTCTCCAGGGGCAAGTTGTAGCTTGACTTTATGTCCTGAAATATATCACTGAAAATGAACTCTAGATATCATAAGCAAAACAGGGTTACTAGGTGCAAGTGCTGCTAAAGCTCATGTCCATATTTAAAATTTGTTTGAATGCTCCTACATATGCTTGAGCATACAAATTTCAAAACTTATTTCAATGTTGTGAATTTTCTGATGAAATACTGAAAAATTGTTAAGTAGGTAAATGTTAATTTCTGGATTCGATATAGAGCATTATAGTCATTTTAGAGTTGTGATTCTCTTTAGGAAGTTAAAAATTGTGCTCATGATGTGGTTTGCTAGGGATTGGAGATGAGTTAATGATAGTTGTTGGATTGGGCCCTCAGGGACTTGGTTGCAAGTGAGGTTCAAGTCAAGAGAGGAGGAAAGCTTGTCTTGTTTCCCTGAAAGGACTAGTTGGCTTTATAAAGTAGTTGGAACACTTAGCTTCATGGCTTACTTGAGCAATTTTGAAAGCTAATCAGTCAACAACAAGTTAGCATCATGGTAACACATGTGGTGACATGGCCCTCTTAGAAAATATTATGATTGCTAAGCCAATCTATGTAGTTAAATCAAATGCTTATGTATTTCTTATTAATCATTCAATTTTTTCTGTGGCAATTTTTTTTTATTCAAATGAGCATCATGTAGAGTTTAGTTTTGTGCGAAGTTCATTGGCTTTTTGATTGCTTTCATCATAACGCGGGATTTAAGAAATGATCGGCAAAAGGCAGGTGATCAACGTTTTGGTTTGGAAACTGATAATATCCATAACTTAAATTTGCACTACCTTTCCTTATTGCATTCTGCTTTCTGTTTATTAAAAATTATTTTAGGATAGCAGCAGCTGTGACTAACTCTCACTAGCTTACCTGTTTTTGAAATTTTATAATTTAGGTGGTTCACACCAAGTGGTTGGAGGAGAACTAAGGAAGATCTTATTTTGGAGGTATTTCCAATTTGGTATGCTAATTCGTTATTATGTCTTCCACAGTGCAGATTAGTTTATACTATATTTCTTTTCTCAAGATAACTTTTATTTATGAACATTTCTAAAACTTAAATTACATTATTTAGCTTTTGTTTGGAATAGCTTTAGGCCACTATTTTTTTCCTGCTTTGAAGGGATTTTTGTACTAAAAAGCTGCTTTACGAAGCAGTAAGACAGCCATCTCAAATGAAGCCTTAATGGAAAGGGCTATCAGAGCGCCACATTGTCACATAATTTAAATTCTTACTTTTTAAATAATACATTATATTAGATACACATTGCTAGAAGATTAAAAAAAACATGTTATCTAGGTTTGATATGTTTAAGAATTTGATCTATTATTAGAAAAAATGCATACATAGATGAGTTTATAAATTCTGAAATAAAAAATTGATGCTTCAAGACAACTGTATTTCTGATGGAAAAGCAGGGGAAACATCTCATTAAAAGAAAGAAAAATTATATAAAGAAAGTTAAATAAAAATAGGAATCAAACAAGAGAAAAAAGAAAATCAAACGGTCATCTAAAAAGATCTTGAGGCTTTTTTAGCAAGACTAGAATCTATCCAAAACTAAACTTGAGATAAAGTATTGAACGATATTTTTTTTATCTTTCTTGCTAGAGTTGGAAAATTTTCTACGGTTCTTTGAATCCAAATGTTCTAAGGAGTTGAGAGCAACACGATTTCCATGTCTTTTGCTTTCTATATGATAAAATAATCTCTATATGATGTGAAAGACTAAAAAAAGTGGTGGAAGCATTAAGCCTCCTAAAAAGAGAGAGAACACTTCCCAATGCATAAACTATTGAGAAAAAAGAAGAACAGAATGGTCCTTCAGTATAGAATTACACAAGATTGTCAATAGAGATTTTGATACCCAAATGAGAGAATTTTTTATAGGAATCTTTCCCAAAAATGCAATCCATCCGAAGAAAGCAAACTTCAAAGGTACCAAAGCCTCCCAAATCCATTTATATTAAGTGATAATACTACCGTGCTTAGGGAGTGCATTGTATGATAACAACAGCTTTGCAGAGTTCTTATTTGTTTGTAGCCATATTTGATTTAGTTCACAATGGATGTAAGAGGTAATCTTACCTTGATGAAATAGAATTTATCCCTTTTCAATGAAGATGCTGCTGGAAGGAGAAAAAGATTTTTCACCAAACAATCCGAATTCCAAGCCATGTTGAAAAGATGAGGATAAAGCTTTGCCAATGACATACTATGAATTTAAGAATATTTCCAAAATCTAACTTTTTCATTGTTATTGATGTTTTAGTAGATGAGAAAAAAGTAAACCTAGAAGCTTTTCTTATATTGTTTATAAAATGTGAACCATCGTGAAAGTCAATAGTTATATTATAAAAATACTTGCAGTGGATAATATTTTAGATATGGAATTAGGGTCATGTGGAGTAGTTTTTAAGACAGTTGTTATTGTGTACGTCTTTAGTACCAAGCTCCTTAATTTTTTTTGGGAATACAAATGTTTCTTCAACTGACTAAGCAGAAATTCCTGTCATCCTCATTACCTTTCCTTAAGAAACTTCTTATAATTTTCAATTTTTTAGTGGCCCAATTTGAAATCTAAAAGAACGATAAAAATATGAAGGTATATATGTTAAAACTTTGTTTATGAGGATAATTATTCTACCTTTAAATTTCCTTTTCAATGAGCAAATTTTCTTGGGATTTTATTCATTATTGAATTCCAAAGACCTTTCTGCGTGGCTTTAGAGCATAAAGGAATACTCATATATTTGAAATGAAGTCTAATAAGAGAGCAACCAATAATATTTGCAATAGAGATGTCTTTTTCATAAAAATCACCAAAATAAACCAATGAATATCTAGAAAAGTTGATTTTGAGCCAAAAAATATTTTGAAAAAAGAGTAGTATATTTTTGAGAGTCCAAACCTGAGTGCAATCAACACCACAAAAAGGATAGTATTATCAACAAATTGAATACTAGCAATGCCCATAATACTTTTCTATCAATTAATGCCCTTTATCCAACCATCCCTTGCAGCAACTTTATGCATTTCATGAAGCATATCACCAATAATAATAAAAATAAGGGGGGAGAAGGATCATGTTGCTTTTATCCTTGAAACATTGAAAATTTTTATTAAGATTTATGTTAACAATGACTTGAAAGTTTGCATGTAGCAAGGCTTCTCGAACCTAGTGGTTGAACTTATGAGGGAAAAATCTTCCTTTCAAAGCATAAATAATGAAATCCCAATTGCAACAATTATGGACCTTTTCATAGTAAACTTTGAAAATGAAAGAATCCATTTTCATCGTTAGAATAGGGAAACTTGACTTTATATGACTTATAATAGCCATAATTGATTAAATCTCCCCGTTATTTCATTATGTGGAGAAATATACAAGAAAATTCAATTTGGACCAAAATGCCTCTCTTGTATTTACGAATGCTTATTGGAGTCCATTAAAACTTAACTTTTTTGCAAGCAAAGATTGAGCAATGTTCGAACTAAATTTTGAATAAAATAAAATAAAAAAGCTTAAGATTTTAGCATGTTTAAACAAAGTTCGAGCAAGCTATGAACAATGTTAGAATGAGATTCAAATAAAATTCGAGCAAAGCATGCCCAAGATTCAAACATGTTAAAAAAAGATTGAAAGAAGTTGAGATATTAATCGAAGATTGTTTTTATTGTATATCTATAGAATTGAATGAATAGAAAAACAAAATAGTTTAATATTCATCCTTTATAGAATTAAATGAATAAAGAAAGTAAATTAAATGTACTTTATTTTCTTGCTATCTACCTGTGGGCTTTTGGATCTATGTTGTTGAAAAATAATATCAAATTATGATGGCCTTAGTAAAATGATATTCGATCATGCGTAACTTCCACAAGTGCACCATATCCTTATTTAACTCTTTTAGAGTCCTCTCCTGTGATAGCCTGCATCATGCGTATTCAAAGAATGCTTGTTGTATTCAATGAAGACAAGTATCTCGATAAAAAAATAACACTATGCTTATCATTGTTGAGTAGAACACTATTTACAAGATAATGTAAACCTAGCTTTCATACATCATTTCTCTCAGTGCACAACATGAACGCTTTCTTCTTGTCTATACTCCTGTCTCTATTCAATTAGTTATTGTCAAAATCTCAGTCATCCCTTAGCATTTGATCTCACGGTCAGGATGAGAATCCGTGGGAGGCTCACTTGGATCACACCAATATCCTTCTATATTTGGGTAGCTGAATTAGGAAGGATTATATTGAGGCATTTATGTATCAATTAGAAGTTATTTATTTCTTTATTAAGTCATCTTGTATAGATCTATAAATAGGGATAATTTTGTATAATAAGCAGAAGGTATTTTTACCTTTCTCAAATCCTATGAATTGTAACATGGTATCAGAGCCAACGGCCTTAATTGCCGTCGAAGAATGATCTTAGATCGTCGGAAGAGGAAGAGGAAAAAAGCCCGAAGCATCTGAGGCTTGATCGCTGCCAACTCCGTGTATGCCGAAGACGGAAGCTGAGACGGAGTCGAAGCTCCGATCCAAACTTCCGATCAGATAGGAAGGACAAGTCGTCAAAGAAGCGTATCCACGAAGGAGCTGACGAAGCCATGCTGGACCCAGAAGCTCGAAGCCTGAAGCCGAATGAAACCGGACGGGCCGAGCAAACTGTGACGAAGTCGAAGGAATGAAGGAAGCGGCGGGGCCTTGCGGGACGGACGGGCCGAGCAAACCTCCTGTGAGATGGAGCCAAAGGAAGGAAACATCAAAGCCTCTAGACGCAGGAAGGAGCCGCTCGGAGGAAGACACTAGCTTGGATGTCAGAAGGTAGGAAGAATCCAGGAGACGAAGTCACCCAAGAGAATCGCAAGATGAATTGATCCCGTCTGGAAGAATCGACTGCAAGAGCCGAGCTCTGCGGGCGACCAAGACGAAGCCCTTGCGGACGAAGCTTGCGAACGAGTCCCAAGATGGACTCGGAGCTTGCGGAAGAAGTGGCTGAAGCAAAGCCGCACCGACGAAGCTGCACCGACGCTCGGAAGAAGCTGTTTGCAGACGCTTGATTTGATCAGAAGCTCCTTCTGATTATACTGTTCCGCTCAGATCCATAGAGATGCCCTCTCGATTATCTTAGATGGGCCGACAACAAGAAGAAGTCTTAAATCAGATTTGAGACATGATTAAGACCTGATATCAGTCTTTATTGCTGATATAATCAAATCAGCCTTTATTGCTGACATAATCAAATCAGCCTTTATTGCTGAGCAAATCAGCCTTTATTGCTGATACAAGCAAATCAGTCTTTATGGTTGATCAAATCAACTTTTATTGCTACTATAAATACAGCCTTCATTGCTGGAAACTGAGGAATACAAGTTCCCACAACCGGCCTTAATTGTCGGAATTTTGAGGATAGTTTTCCATCATCGGCCTTCATTGCCGGCTTTCTCTAGTGGTTGATATCCTATTCATAACGAATGCAGCTCTACCTCTGAACGAGTAATTGCAAGCTGGTCTCCAGCTTGAGGGGGAGTGTCAAAATCTCAGTCATCCCTTAGCATTTGATCCCACGGTCAGGATGAGAATCTGTGGGAGGCTCACTTGGATCACACCAATATCCTTCTATATTTGGGTAGCTGAATTAGGAAGGATTATATTGAGGCATTTATGTATCAATTAGAAGTTATTTATTTCTTTATTAAGACATCTTGTATAGATCTATAAATAGGGATAATTTTGTATAATAAGCAGAAGGTATTTTTACCTTTCTCAAATCCTATGAATTGTAACAGTTATCAATAAGCCTAATGCTTTGGTTCATCTCCTTGAATTCCTCTTGAGATGAAAATTCTCCAAATCCTAAGCCAATGATTAGTGCAAATTCAATTACTTCAAAATCCAAATTTTATGCTCCTATTCCTCATTCACCTCATTGTTGACCACTCTTAACAATAGCTGATGAATCAGTGCTTCATAGAATTGCAGAGAAGAGCTTTGAAAAGCTACTTAAAGGGGGATTTCTTAGCCCTTTTTATAAGGTCGAATGCCTTAAATTGCCTAACAATTTCATGCATTACACCTAAGCTTTGTATGCTACCAAAGTAGTGAATTCCTCTCAACGGATATAATTAAAGTGATCATTTGTATACATACAAAATATGTCAGATGAATCAAGTCCTTATAAAATAATAATGACAAAAAAAGATCAATCATGTTTGAACGTTGAACTTTTTTTATCCATGTTTGGACCTTATTAAAGCATGGATGTAATAATACTTGAATCATATTCGAACCATTTTCAGGCATGTTTAAACCACATTGGAACTTAGGGCTTTGTTCTAACCATACTCGAACCTTGTTCGAACTTTGAAGAAGGTTCGAGCAAGGTTTGAACGAGTTTGAGTATGTTTTGAACATAATTCAAACATGGTTGTACATATTTTAGGATGTCTATTGAGGTTTATGGTTAATGGTTTAGTGTGCAAACATGATTTGAAACCCCTATTATAAGTTTGCGCCTTGTTAATTTTTGTACTTGGGGTTATCCTCTAGTTTGTTTCCTATTATAATCTGTAACTGCTGGCGATGAATGCATTGAAATCTAAATAACTAAAAGTATAATATCACTAACTTTAAACAGATAATGGTTGGAAAGTCGAGGCCATTTCTTTTAAGCCTTATGCTAACCGTTCACATGAGCCCTGAGATTGCCTGAGAAAGAGACAATGTGAGAAGAGGGACATTCGATCATCTCCTTATTCGATAGTTTGCATTAGTTTTCTCTCAAAGGATATGACTCATTTTAATATTGTCGTGATATTTTGATCCAAAATGAATTTTAGGGTATATTTCTTCCAATAATGAATTAATAGGGATATTTGGCCAACTGAGACTATTATGGATCATACAAAGTCAAATTTCTTTTTAAATATAATGAAGTTTGATTTTAGCCAATCATAATTATTAACCAACAGACTTATTGTTTGCCTAAATAATTAGATTGACAACACACTTAGTATTTTTATTGCATTTGACAATCATTCAAATTAGGCGATTTTCAAATCTCACACTGCGCCTAGTTGTGATTCTTGCCTATCGCTACAATTGCTGTCTGCCATCACCTACTTCTAAATGCATTTGAAATGAATCATAATAAAAGAAAAATTCAATGCATTTGATTTGCATGCAATCAAGCAACTATATTTTAAATACATGCATTTCATTTACTCTACTTTTCTAAAATGCATGCATTTAAAAATTTTCAACCAAACAACTCCTTAGGCTTTGTAGGTTTCAAAATTACTCTTCTCCCATTATTATTTAAAGTATGTGTATTACTTTGAAAGAGCAAGCGCCTAATATTGATCTGGTAGTTTCCTTGCTCAAATCTCTTACCTTTGAACTTATTTCTTGGGTTAGTTGTTTGCTTTTACCTTCATGATTATTCAGTGTTGCAATCAGCATTCTCTTATCCAAATTCATGACTCTTTTTCAGAAACAAATTATGACTTTCTGAAGTGCTATTGCAGATGAAAACTGCATATGCCATTGCAACGCTCAGGAAGAAAAAGGGGTATTCAAAAAAGCTGTTTTACCAAAATGCAGTGACATTATATAAGGAGGTGTGAATTTCGCTCTCTCTTTATCGTATTGTTAGTGCATTAGTGTATTAACTTTACTTTTTCTTAATGCACTACAAAGCTAAACTCTGTTAGAATATTGCCATATTTTTCTCATGATTCTGCTACTTAACTTTTTTTTACAATTCCACACTTTAATCATGAAACCTTAAAAAAAGAAGGTAGCCTTGGTTAGGACTTGAAACTGTAGCATTATTTTTAAAATGGCCGGTAGTGCTTAAAAAAAAAACTAGGTCAAAGAAAAATTAGACTAAATTTTGTGCAAAAAGATTTGTATAAATTAGAGTTAACATGAATTAATAGAGGAAGGACTTACAAAGCTGATCCCAAATTGTTGGGATAATGCTTATTGTGATGATGGTGTTGATTTTATTAAACTGCAAAATCAGTACTTTATTCTTTACATGAGTTGTGATTCTTCCTAATTGTATACTCTTAGCATGCCTTACTACTGAATGTATTGCTTTCAAAGTGTTGATGACGCTTGTACGGAACTGATTTAACAAAGTTCACTATGCTGCTGAGCAGTGCTCAACCTGTGATCATTATGTTTGATCAACTCGATAATGTGATAATCATTATGATTGCCAATTTAATTCTTGTTGGTCAAATATACCTGTTTTATATTTATTGCCAGCAGTCTTCTGAGAAAGGTTTGCTGTTCTTTCTTTTTCATTTATGGAACATCCTAATTTAATGACTTATTGATTATAAAAAGGTTAGAGTTCGTACATTTTTATATTCTAATGATGCAAGACGACCTAATTGATAATAACATGATTGCAAATATCTAAGAACTTTAACAAGAAATTTGAAAATAAATAAAATTAGAGTGCAAATAAATTAATTTATGCAAATCATAATACCTACATATCATTTTTTGACTAAAATTATAAGCACTAAACTAGACTATAATAAATTATGTAGAAAAAATATTAGAAGAAATGAATAACTGAAGCAAGAAAAAACGAAGTCTGACACCTGGACAGGAGATGGTTTTCTTGAGATTAGTTAGTTGCACTTGTACGGCACTCGAATGAATTACATATCCAATTTGTACTAAAAAGATTGAAAATTAGTGCGGGGAAATAAAATCACACATATTCGATGTACTCCTATTTTTGTGATTGAATATTACATTGGGAATAACATATAATCTTGAAAGATAAAAAATGATATTTTACAATGAATTTGAAAAAAAATTACTTTGAAAATTTTTCATTCTCATAATCAAACACAACAAGGAGAATAATATATTGTTTTGAAAGATAGATATGATGTTCTACAATGTGTTTGAAGATGAGAATGGAGTTTTGAAAATTCGTTATTTCTATAATGAAATACAGTTGAGAGAATAGCATGTTATCCAAAAAATGAACATGATATTTTACAAAGGTATTTGAATACAAAATTGTATTTTGAAAAATTATTTACGTTTCCAAAGTTCTTTCTCCAACCTTTTGGGAATAAAATAAGATTTATTTTAATCTAGAGTTACTCATTCCTTATAAAGGTAATCTCTTATGATTAATTACATCCCAAGTAGGTGAATCTCATAAGAATACTCTCGATTAAAAAAATGACTAATATTTTCTTAATCTCAAAGTTTAAAACAAAGATTTGGAAATTTTACTTGAAATTATTTCAAAGTTGAATAGTCCTTTCTGGAGGCCAAAGGATAAAGACTAGAGAGCACTAGATTCTGAGGATCTCAAGAGGCACAGATCTCAAAACTACCTTAATCTATCATATGGTTAGACCTTACATTTTTGATATTGAATTTTATTTTTATTTAACTTGACATTTATTTGATAGCTGAGATTATTGATGAGGACATCGAAGATCAACGGCTACGATCGTGTCTATTTATCTTGATGTATTTGATTTGTTATTTGTACTTTTCCTTTTCTACCCTCACTTGAGGGCTTTGCCTTATGTTTGCCCTAGGAGCAATAGTGTCTTTTATTTTTCTTCATGTATTTGGTTATTTAAGCCTTCCCCTTCCTCTTGGAAAGGATGATGATTATTGTTAATGAAAATTTTGGTTTTGGATCTCTTTGTGAGTTCTAGAGTTCTCTTTGTGAGTTCTCGCGTGAGGAAAGCCCAGGAGAGGCTCAAAGCAATACCCAACAGCTCCTTGGTGGAGCTCTTGGTTTTCTACCCCATATCTCTTCTTCTCCTCAACTGTTTTCCCCCCCCACCCGCCGGCACACTTGGCCCCAAAGCCACCGGCCACCTCCACTCACCGCCGGCCTCCAGCGGCCAGCGCCCAGACGTCAGCCTCCAGTCATCGGCGACCAAGCAGCCACCACCCGCCAACCCTCCACCCGCCTCCCTTGGTGCCGTTTCCCCCCCTTTCCCCCCCTCTAGCTGCTGGCTGCTGGCCTCCCTTCATGGGGTTTGAATTTTGAAATCTCCCATGAGACATAATTGACTTTCCTTAATTAGATCCTTGATTTTGGCAATTTTCTTAATTGTGTTTCAAGCCAGATTTGAAATTCAAATCAATTCTCTTGATTGCCATGCATTAAGAAACTTCCCTAAATTGAAACCTGAAGTTCCGTTCAGATTTTTGATTAAAATCTGTCATTAATTGAGGGCCCCATTTCATTCATTACCAAGCCCCTCTCTCTCTTCTTATGGCCGGCCACCTCACCCCCATTGCTTCTCTCTCTAATTGCCACCTCACCGCCTCTTAATTACCTCCCAAAAACCTCCCCTCTCAAACGTAATTTCAGCTTTTATTCCAGATTTTAAATTCTGAGATTGGAAATCAAGATTATTCCCACTCAGATTTCCTCTCCTCCTTTGCTTCACGTGGCTTGTTTTCCATAAGTCTTGCTGCTAAGTTTTTCCTCCCTAAAATGAGAGTTGGAATTCCTCTCAGATTTTTTGAGAGAAGAAAATCTGAAACATTTCAGATTCCTCCAAAGAATTACTTCAGCTTCGTAGAAGAATTTGAAAAAACGGGAAGTCTCCTCAGATTTTGGTTCCAAAAATCTGAAATTCCTTTTTCTGGATTTTGGTGAGCCTGAAATCTTCCCACCGGGATTGCTGTCCAGTAGTTCAGAGAATTGACATCTTCCTTGTTGCTGCTTCACCTGCAACCCGTGATTTAGAAGATTCGGAACGTTTACTTGCCCCTCTTCCCGGGTGTTCCTTAGTGCGAGGAGGTTCGTGGTTGCTGTCCACTTCGTTCCCAACTTTCAAAGAACCTTGCCAGAGTGTGTATCCCTCTTGTCTTTGGGTAACTTCGACACCCGACTCTCTATCTTCATAGTTACATCCTTGAATGTGAATTTATTATCTTAATGAAGATCATATTAATGCTTCTCCGCTAAAGCCTAGTAATTAGAAGAGTTGTGTGAGGGATCTTTCATAGACTAATCTTATTGTTAGTATTGGAATCAATTGTTGGAACGATTCATGTATGCAATGTTGGATTAAGCTGGCTATCTTTTGAACTTAACTTCTATGCATGTGAGATAACCTAAGCTAGGTACCACTTTAATATTTAACTTATCGTTCAATTCCGCATAAGATCTTGCTTATTATTGCCTCTAAATCTAAACGTGCAAACTTCTTTAAGCAAATCACTTTCACATGGATTGTTTCACATCAATAATATTTCTAGATGGTGATGACTTATGATTTAAGGTCTATCTCAGAACCTAGAACTTAGGTAAAACATTGAATAGTGGAACGAACATAGTCTAACAAAATATAGGAATAGTGAGGTGGGATTTGTTCTTTTGAAACTTTTAGGAGATTCAAGAGAATTACAACGACACAATTTACACTGTATAAATCTGTCTAGTAGTAGAACTTGACATTAAAGATCCACCTAAATGTTTTAAGAAATCATATTTTTGATCTTTAGAAAATGCAGGATGGTTGGTCTTAGTATTTAATTCTTGGGAAATTGGGACTAAACATGTAAGAAACCATCCTAATTATCCCCAAATAAGTGCTGTGGTTATGCACTTAAGAATTAAATGTAATTAATTTTGATTTTTTTCAAATTTTTTTACCCTATAAAATGATTGAAAAAAATAATTTAGTTTTCATACTAGTTGGAACATTGCAAGTCAAATGATTTTGAACTTTTTAAAAAGGCTTAGAAAAATGTATTTTTCCTAAAGATTACATTTCTGTAGACAAAAATAGGTTAGGTGATTTATTCAACACACAGATTGGGAGGCGCCTAAACAAGTAATTATCAAAGATGCTATGGATCCTAGAGGAACCCAGTTTACATTCTTCAACCGTGATATTTTCTATATTATTTAAATCTAAATTTGATTATTAGCTATACAAGTTTTTAATTTTCCTAAGAGCTTAGCGGAATCACAAAAATCACATGCAAGGATAAACTTGGAAAAACATGCATTTTCTAAAGCATAATCAATGTAAAACACAATATTCATGCAACCACCCTTAAAATCATGTAAAAAAATAAACTACAACTCTGCATGCACCCAACACTTCGCTTAAAGAGGCGGTATTGGCAGTGTCAGACCGTGTTTTGAATACGGACATGCGTCCGCATTGCTATGACACGTGCTTCCAAACATGACATTGGAAGTTGTCCCGCAATTTATAAAAAATTAAAAATTTAAAATCGACATGCGTGTCGGACCGTGTGTCCGATTATTAAATAATAAAAAGCTAATGTACAATGCTCGGGTACCGTAGGTATCGCTAGTACATGCTCGTTATCGCTAGGGTATTGCCTAGGTGATGTTCGGTAAGCTCAGTACCGCTAGGATTATCGGCTTGTTAATGCTCGGGTACTCGGGTTTTTCCATAAAACAATCTTACAACTTTAAAAAAGCAGGTGAACCCCGACAGGGGGGCGCCCCCTTGGACCCCCAGCAGACTGATATATTATTGTATTCATTTTGTCTTATTATTGGATATTTTTGATTTCACTTCATATCAATTTAACTTGATTATATTCCTAAGTATGGATTGGTTTGTTA